GATATGGTAATGGTGGCCGCGTGATAATTACTTATCCTCTAAGGAAGGTTAACTTGCTATAATCTACGAACTTTGGCCTTGCCTGTGAGGGTAGAAACTCTTTACCATTAAGCTACATTAATCGGCCAGAGATGGGTTTTCGATGTCATCAAAAATGAAATAAAATAAAATAAAAAATATGGAGCTTGGAAGGGGATGGGGGGAACTCACACACACGGGTACCATGAAGGCAACACTCATTGATATTCGCCAATCAGTTTGATCAGTATAATTTTGCATGGCTTTGAGCCTATAGCTCTGAGCCATAAGTATGAAATCGGTTTTGCATATATAATATGTTATCTTCATTTTTCTAGTTACTGTTCCAACATGTTTGGAACTTATATACTACAAACAAACATATTAGACTTCCTACGAAAACACAAATTTTTTTTAAAAAAATGCTAGCTAGGAAGCAAAAAGGCCACGCGGATCGATCCTCATTTGTATATAATAACTACTTTGCAGTTAAAATCTTATACAAATTATCATATCGTCTGTTTCTCATTTTGTTTTTGACATGTTACAATCTCCTCATCTTCGAGTTCGAGTATCGACAGGTCTCGAAATCAAGGTAGCATCACTCATACATATTTCTTTACCAGCCTCAGTGCATAGACATCCATCTTCTTGCAGCTGATGACAAAACACATAAAACGAATTCTCAGAAATATTATAACTTATCAATTGTCTAGCTAGCTACTCACTACTAGGTGCTACAAACTCGAAAACTTATCGCCTAGAAAAAGAAACTTTAAGATGAAAAACGCTCGAAAATTGTTTGCCCGTAACGAATTTCAGCTGAACTGATGCAACAGCGTTTCATTTATTTATATATGAATTCACTTCGAACCTCCTTTATTCATATCCAATAAACAACTGCGACGCAGTAGAGTAGTACTCACTCTCCCATATATAGAAAGGAATTCATTACTTAATTTACCTGCAGATAGAATTTAGCGTTGCTGATCATCATCAGTGGAAGCGATCTGTCATGAACAAGAAAGTCAGGATGGCTATACATAAGACCATAAGGGCATTAGAGTTGAGATGCTGTGCGTTGTTCCTGGGGAACCGTTTTGGAATTGCACACTCTTCTCCATTGAACAACACTCTTGTTGGGAACCCTTCACCCGCCTTGATATCAATATTGTGAAAGTGCTTCTTCTTGAACGAGATCACCGACTGCTGCTTCCCAGGAACCATCGGATTCTTATTCGGGTCGCTCCCGTTCTTAATCCCGATCAAGTAATTCAAGCCCTTGAGCCCTGTGAACATAATGGTGCTGTTAACTTCCTTCTCCATCCTGGTTCCGTTGAACGAGTAGACGTTTTCATAGTCTGCGTAGGCCTTGTTCATCTTCACGGCAGTGTACCAATCTTGGAAAGGGTCGTTTCCCCAGTTGAAGAGAGTTAGCCTTGCAGTCCATCCATTGCTGTAATCCGAGTCGATGTGCCAATTCAAGCTCACCCCACAGTTGTCAGGGCACGGCAGCTTCTTGGGCACGTCATAGTGTTTGATTTTGGCCCAAGCTTTTGCCTTCTCTGTTCTGTTAGCGAAGGGCACAAGTAGAGCTTCAGCTGGAAGAAGCATGGCGGGCTCTCTGGGGCTGCATTTGCCTGTGTCGGTGATTTTGCATCCGCAGGCGCACGTGCTGCATGGCACCACAGAGTCACTGTAATAGGCTGAGAACGAGACGCAGCATCTGGGGACCGAGGGCTTGGTAATGTTGCACACCACCTGCCAGCTAGCAACGGAGGCTGACGTGGCCTGGAGCCCGCTGGGGTCGGGGAATTGGGTAGGGTCGATTCTGATTGGGGGACCACATTTGTAAGAAGGGTTCAGGGCACCGTTGATTTTCCATTTCTGAGGTGGAGTGAGGGCGGTTCTGTTGTCATCAGGCGGGAGCTTGAAGACTTGCAGTTGGAAGATAGACTGGGACTGGCTCTTGTCCATGAGGCCGGGCAAGATGGTTCCGTTTCTGCAGCAGTTGGGCAGTTTTCCGACCTTGGGGTCGTCCTTTCGATCGGCAGGAAGGTCAGTGATGACGGGCCTCTTTTCGCAGTTCATGACCTGAGAGAAGTCCAAGTCCTTGTAAAATTTGCCGGCCATGCCGTAGAGACACTCGGTTGAGTCCTTCTTGTGAGTGTAGGCTCCTCTCATGTTGTTGATGAACTCTCCCTTCATCCACTCCCAGGTAATGTTCCAGTGGTCGAGGCGGCCGAGCGGGTGGTTGTTTTCGATGGTCACTTGGGCGAGGTAGTTGTTTGCGAAGGTTTGGAGCACGTCGTATGTGATGGAGAGATCACCTTTCTGCTTGGGCATGAATTTGGTTTTTTCGATTTTCTTTGCCTTGAATTTTGGGTCCTTTTTGCAGCACACGAACATTGTACTCTTCCCTGCAAATCAAAACAGAATAATATGATTCAAATGCATGCCTTATAATTTCAAGTTATAGCTATAGATAAGCCAGACAATTGATTTCAAGGTTCTTATATATAATCCAGGAGATTATTTAAAAACTTCACTTTCAAACCAACAATAATCTGTCCGGCCATTTTTAATATTCATTTCACAAATATTCTTTCTAATTAACTATCTTGAAACACATAACATTATAAGATGCCAAATTTGTTAAGAACAGTTACTCATGCACTCCAATTCCTCCCTCCCATAATATCGTTTGTATCAAAAGATTCCAAAGCAATGTTGATATTCAATCTTGAATCGAATCCTCATAAAACATCTTGTTTCTTGTTAGTATACAAATAAACAAAAGTCAACCATTGATATAATTAATGGATCATTAATGATCTATTGGTTATAGATCATCATCATCTGCAAATAAATTTTCGAAAAATCATCTGTAATTAGTGCATATATATAAAACAAGATCAATATACAAAAATCTTGTCAAAAAAAAAAACATGAAAAAAACAATGCAGAGAGAGCAATGGATAGTAATTACCGCGGATACGAGCATTAGGGCACTTGAAGCCGTCGTTGACGAGGCTGATGGACTTGGGCATGGGAGTAGCCTTAGTGCCGAGCCCAAACTGCGTCCCCTTGAACTTGATCTTAGACTGAATCTGGGTGTAATCTCCTGCGGTATCGATCATGGTCTTCAAATCTGTCATGGGGTTCCCCGCAAAGGTGGCCCCTTTGGTCCCAAGCTGCACGGGCAGATCACCGCCGTCCACCAGCAGAGCCCCTTCCGCCTCCACCAAAATCTCCCGATGCTGGAACCCTATGTACATCTTCCACGCCTTGAGCTCCGTCGACCCGGCGTTCAAGATGGTGGCCTCCGACTTGAATGCCCAAGCCTGCGCAGATACGTTTTTCAAGCGAGGCAGCTCCTTCTCCCTTGACGTAAACTGGTACGACAAGAAGATGCCGTCACAGTCTTCTTGCTCGGGAGGAGGAGCTGCCACCGCACCATCACCGTCCCCGTCGCCTGCTTGTCCATAACAAATCTCAACCCTAAAAGATGAAAGCACCAAAAACACGACCAGCATTGCATGAAAAGAGGACATTTGGATGGTCCATGGTATTTTCATGCCTAGTGTCACCATTATTCTTCTTTTTCCTTTGTGAATCAATTTTTTCTTTTTTCTTTTTTCTTGGTTTAATTTGTTTGTTTTGTTGTTTTTGGGGTTTGAGGGATTTGTTTGGTTTGTGTTGCTTGGGAGAGACAAAGAGAGAGAGAGATAGATGTAAAGAGAGCTAGCGGCGGCCGCGCGAGAACGCGGCGAGTGAGAGAAGCTAGAGGCCCTTGGGAGTCTCTGTAAAACCCCAGGGGAGAGAGAGATGGCTTGGTATAAAGAAGAGGAGCGACATTAAAAGACTGAGTCAATCTCTATTTTCTTCCTCTAGTTTTCGCGGCAGTTTCGGAGCCTTGCCTTTCCCCCCCATGCAACCCAACCGTTATTTTTCTGTTACTTTTCTGGTTTCACATTGTACGGACCCTGTGCACGTTTCATGCCCTGTAAATAGCATGTGCACACTGATACGGTGTCGTTTGAGATTTGTTTGTTGGTTTTTTGGACCAAAAACGAAACAAGTTTGTTGTTTGTAGGAACTCGGGAGGATGATGTATTTCGAGTGGTTTGGTCACCTCCAGTTTGCTGACGTGGAATAACAAGCCAACATATATTGTTTCATTTTTAATAATTCCTCGGTCTCTACTGCCCTAAAAGAAAGACTGTAAAACTGCCATTGACGATTGAGCTTCCCCTTTCCCCTGAGATCTGACTGAAAACCATGTAGAAACCTTTTTTATTATTATTATTATTATTAATGGAGGAGGGATGATTCGTAGTTGAGACCCTTTGAAAAATGAATGAAAATACAGTGACTCATATGCAATGAATGATATATGTACCAAAAACAAGATTAAATAATAGGGTTGTTAGATCTAGGTCTGAAACGATTAGTTGAAACCCTTATTAAATAATTGACGGTTGTCGAGATGGACAGAAAAAAATCGATAAACAGAATAAATTGATCGAACCAAACTGAATCAGATGTTTGCTAGGTTTTCAATAAAAATGTGTTTTTTAGGACAGAACAGTTTCACACTAGTTCGGCTATGTATGTTTGGTTCAAACTGAACTGACCCGTTTGATTCTGTCTTTAAAGATACATAAGGGATTTAGTTGGAAATGGTTTTTTAGAAGTAGATCAAGAACTATACAAAATTCAAGTGTTGTTTGAATACGTACTTAAAAGTGTTTTCTGAAGAAGCACTGGAAACCCTTTTTTTAAGAGGTGTGATGCTGACAGATGAGAGGAAGGAACGAAAACTTTCTGCTAGAGCTTTTATCTATGTCTAAATCGGAGGAAAGAACGATAATTTCTGTGGCAAAAAATCATGTGCACCAGAGTCAGACCATTTGTTCCTCTCAAGTAAGTTCAAACTTAGGAGACAGAGGAACACAAAACACTTAAACCTGCACCAAGAATTTCTCAGAATAACTTTCTTTTTATATTCTCGGTCGCGTAAAACACTGCTTAAAACCGAATCCCTACCTCCTACACCTTTCTTTTAGTTACATATCCAGTTAATTCAGCTTGCCACAATTTTCATTACACTGTCGTAATTGTCCTTTACACATACAAAGTACATTAACTAAATCAAGTGACAGTTATCTCTGCCGCACTACTTATTTCTTCAACATACTGTGCTTTTGGCTCCAAGTCTATGAACTGGTTGGACTTGCTAGCGAGATGTGAAATGCTAACCCTTCCCTGACGCTTAATATAGTCTGCCACAGCTTGCATCTCTTCTTGGGAGATGTATATGTATTTCCCTCTGTCATCCATGACACCGGAAAGTCGCCCTAACACAAAGAAATACAACATTTTCATTCTCAGCAAAGGGAATTTTACTTTCTGAAGCAAGGCATTATTCCACTAGGTTAAACAATTCAATGATGAAATGGCTCTGAACATACCCATACTCTCCAGAGAGGTAATCCGATTGATGCATTCCTACATGAGCCATTAGTTGCATTGTAAAATTAGTAAGGCAAATCTGGTAAAAATTCAAGACAATGTAACCTGATCAACCAAAAAGAAGGGGTTACTTTCTCTCCTGACCAGAGTTGCATAAAGAAAGCATGTTCGATATGAAAAGATCAGAACTCAGTTGATGACTCACTTAGAAAAGATATTTTCCATATGCCTTACTAGTTTTCACATAAAAACTTCATCTATTACTGCAATTTGAGGTATGTAAGCAGGCATGGAAATTGTTGATTTATATGTTTATTCAAGGAAAATATGTGGAGAAATTACCTGAGTTCTTAACTTGAATTCAGCAGCAAGATCTTCCAAGGGTACACATTTATGTTTCTGCAACATCAGGATTAATAGTAGTATTAATAACGAAATCACAACCTCAACTTGAGAGCCTCACTTTGTCAACCATTAACTCATCCGATTGAGGTCTCATATGGAAGACATGCAAACATTTGAAAGAAAAATAAACTCTAAACAAGTAAAGCTATCTTAAGGAGGACACAAAAAGAGAAATTAGCCATTGTACACACAAGCTTCTCATTGTGGTTCATTCATTCAGGCATCACCTCAAGTTCAAATCAAGTTTGACCATAACAGCTAGGGAGTAAAATTGTTTAGCAAATAAGCCAACGACCAGGTTGAACTACACCAGACAAGGTAAACAAACTACAATCCAACCTTAATATCCATAGATCATTAGGCCATTTTCATCCCTAGTTTTGATGCCCACCCAATGGAAATATCAAGTGGGTAGCTACAAAAGTAAAGAACAATATCTCTGAATGACTGTAACAGGTACAGAACTGAAAACTACCTTTATGTATTCCACAAAATCAGAGAGCAAATCCTGATGTCCATCCTGCACTTCATTTTCTGTAGTACCTTCAGCATCTATAGAAAACTCTCCTTTCCACTTCTCGAACTCTAATGCAGCAGCTTCCTCCTCCCTAGCTTTCTGAGCCTTGGCTTCTTCCTCCTATAAAACAATAGTCATATCTTCAGCCAGTAATCCAACCACACACACATATACGCATCTTAATTATCCAACAGAGAGCAGAAAATCAACATACCAGCTGATGCTCCTGTGCCTCACGCTCCTCATCTTTCCTCCTCCGCATTTCAGCATAGCGGTCTTGTTTAGTATTCCTCGATTCACGTGCAGCTTGTTCAGCCTTCAAACAATGGGATGGAACCAAATAAAACAAACTAATTCTTCTTCACTTGAAAGGAAAAAAAGGGGGAAATAAAATAAAAAGAATGCAATGACAACCATGAAAACAAATCAGGAACCCGCAGAAATAAATGCTTTTTCATGTTTTAGCTTTTTATATCTATAGAATGCTGTAGCAATCAAACTTGTTAACACTTCCTACACCTCAATGACTACAAGGAATCAGCTTATGTCTTTATCTCAATATTCGTATATCTGCAAACTCATTAAAATGTAAGGACTGCTGGACATTCAGGACAGGACAAGTTTACTAGAAAATGCAGAGAGAGAGACAGAGAGAAAATGCAATCTTTCGAATGAAGAGATAAAAAGGAGAAACAATACTTGTCGTTGTGCTTCCCGCTCCTGACGCTTCTTTTCCCTTTTCTTAGATGCTTTGGCTTCATAATACTCACCCTCACCTTCCTCATCACTTCCATCAACAGTTTCTGTATTTAGAATTATTGATGGTCACTTTATTTGACAGAATACCACTTTTTCTACTTATACAGATTACATAAGGAAAAACAATTTTCCTTAATATACGTACCTAACACTAGTGAATGCAACAGACAAGTCCAAATTTGCACCTCCACTTATGCAGGTTACATTTTCTAAACTGAATACGACTGCCTCATTTTAGAAGTCTCTTCATGAATGAATAAACCTATTTCTCCTCGTTGAATAATCACAGGTCTAACCACACTAGATCAAACCTTGTAAACCGCATTTTCCCCCACTAATCGTCATTGGATGAGAGCATTATCTATTGGAAAGACATTATTTATATTTTCATTCTTTATTGTCTTACCACTACTCAACATTTGGCACCTTAAAGCAAAATAAGATCGTGTACCAATTGCTATCTATTTCAATCATGATTCATGCATAACACAAAACATATCCAATCAAAATGATACGAACAGCGCAAAACCTCTGAGAGTCCCAATCAGTCATATAACTCATCCATTCAGCTTATATGCAACATACTCCACTCTCTTACTCGTTAAATATCAAACCCAGAAAATGAAAATAGACACTTCTAAGCATTCTTTTAGTCACCAACGTGAATAAAAGAGAGCAGCAGACCACAAACCTTCTACAACTGGTGCAGCAGCGGCAGCTGATGTGCTTGCTCCAGAAGCCGGCCTCCTTCGCATCCGACGAGGACCAGTGGCACGCACTACACCTTCCCTCTGAGCAACCTAAATTAATTTTTTTTTAAATTAAGAGAAAATTATGAAATGAAAACAAATAAATCTCGAAACAATTACATTGCAATGGAATTAGGTTTAGAAAAATCAAACCTGCGGCTCTTCTTCGTGATCGTGAGGCAATCGAGAATCTTGACGCCGTTTCCATAGATAAAGTGGAATTAATGCCAAAACAAGAAGCATAGAAAGAACTACAGCCAACATTTCCTCCATATTTTCTCAATCTCAGGCTGCCAACAACACCACCACTCAAATGAGCCTCTATAAAATACGCTTCGGAAACTAAAATTAAACGTGCAAAATTCGGATTGAATGGCCTTGTAATGTCTGAAGCTTTCTTTTTGTTCTCTATTTTTCTGAGGCTTTCTTGGAAACCAAACAGAGAGTTATGGTCACGACTTACCGTACTCGCAGTTAAGCTTTCGATAATCGACGAAGGAAGATTTAATTAGTAAATTGGTTAGCTGAGAGAAGTGAGAACGAGACGACCTGCTCCTCACATGTCCCACGAGCCCCTTTTTAGGTTTTCTACGGTTTCTAGAGGCGGACGCGTAGCTTTGCTCTCTGCTTTTGGCTTTGTTTTCTCCTTCGCCAAGAGGACCCGTGTCATTCCCCCCTAGAGAGGGTGGGGAGAAATTACATTTGTTTTTTCTTTCCAAGTTCCAAAACATGGAAAACATTTTTTTATATATTTGTATTATTTAAATTAAAAACAACATTAAATTAAACACCAAACACTAACAATGGGATTAAGAGACTCATTGCCTAACATATCATTACAAAAATAGTGATACACTTTGGGAGCTGGAATCCTATCATAAAGTATCATATAATCTGTTAATGTTTGCATATTTTGTCGAATTTCTTACGAGCAATGACCGAATTAGGAATTTTTTTGTGAGTGCACTAGCTAATATTTTTAAGAAAAAATCTAATTATTTTTTTATATAAAAGAAATCTTTTCTTTGCAATTTGAATCTCTAAAAATTTCTTGGCATCAACCGAATAAGCTTCACTAATGCAAATGCAAATATATAAATAATTAAATTTCAGTTATGTATTAGTTGTAAACACAAGAACAATAAAATTATGTTAATATATTGTTCCGTTCTTGAAAGAGAAAACAAATAAACTTGAGAAATGCCTACAAATGAACACACTAGAAATGTTGAAAATGCCTACAAATGAACATTCACGTGCTGCCATCCGTCTTCATTTTTTTTATGGGCTTAGCGATTATGACAAAAGTTGCAAAAAAATAACGAAATTGAAATTATGTGAACAAAAATGTAAAATTACTCGAAGGAGCATCGAACGTCATTATGGTGGTGATGACCTATGGTGGGAATCATGAGATTATTTTAAAAGTACTTGTGAGAATGAGTAAATGAAGTGTATAGAGTTTAGGGGTGGGAAATAAAATATTTTTGTTTACCACATTTCTTTTGGATGTATACTCATCATCATTTTTAATACTTGACATATATTTATAGGCATAATCATGGTTAATTTTTTACTTCGAAAATGCTCCCAATGGAAAATGGATACCATGAGCACCAACCACCATGCCATAGATGTAGACCTTCATATTAACTACATAATTCATCTGAATAATAACTTCACTTAAATTTAATGAAATAATCATATGACTAATATGAAGATCCACATGAGAAGTCCCATATACGGCATCTTCATTATAAAATTTCGAATCCAATTGGTAACAAGTTGGGCCAGCATATACACATTTGGGCTAATGGAGCCTAATTGGTTTTGGACCAATGGAACCCTTTTGGGCCATTGGAGACTCCTGCTCAATGACCGGCCCATAAAGATTCGCAAACCAGGCGCATTGAGCGAATGGTCTTTATAGGTTTCTCTTTTAATATTCAATGGAGGAGGAAATACGGGCACACAAGCACAAGCATAGAACTTGCCTAGAAAAAGCACAAGCATAGAAGATAATAGGAAGCAAGTGATGCTCCCATTTCCGTTTCCAACAAAGTCTTAGCAAAACAATTACAGATACTGCCACATTATTAACAAAACTCAGTTCACATTGCCAACATCAAATATCAACACCATCACTTACCGACCACCATAAACTCACTTCTAACCACTATTATTTCCGGCTTGGTTTTTTCTTTTTCTTCTCCCCAATTTTAAGCCTCCGCAATCTCAGCAGAATCCGCAGCAGCCAAGATCAGCTCCGGTTGAATGCTACCCACATATGATCCATCCAAAGCGTTGGGAAGCCCTAGTGACTTCAATGCCAAGTGGGCTGCCTTTTGCCCTGATATCATCATGGCTCCAAACGTAGGTCCCTGCATCGCCAATAATGCCCAAATTGCAAATCATTATGTTAAGTCACAATCTCAATTAGGACCACCATTTCCAAACACAAAATCCAAGTTACATAAGGTCACAGAATCAACTAGGACCACAATATAATCAAGTGATGGAACTTTTACAAACATGCAAGAACAGAACAAGGGAAAAGGTTTTGGACCCATATTCCCTTTTAACTCACTATCTTTGAATTGAGTGCAGAGGGGAACAAGACATAGTCGCAAAGGTTCCCAAATAGAGGCCATTATATATGTCACTATCGTTTAGGAAAGGCTAGCAAATGAGATTGGTTTGGGTCCCTTCCTTATTATCATTGAGGATGCAATTCTAGGTCGGGTCTGCTCTACCTTTCACGATTAAAAGGACAAAAAATTTCTTTCCTTCCTACTATTATTATAGGGGGAACATTATTTGCACCACCTCGAATATTCGCACTCCGTCAAAGGCTCAAAGCACTCGGCACTATGTTTGAAACTCAAGATATCAAGGGGAAGACAACTTTTATAAATTGCTAAATCACCCAAGCCCCAAGATATATGACCATCAAATCACCAGTATTGAACAAAAATAGCAGCATTTGACTATAATAATGTGGATTGAGTGAAGCGTTTTAAGTACAAATGATCCAGAAACACTGATTTTACTGTGCAAATATGACTACTATTCTAAAACTTTAATTCTAAATAAAGGACCAAATAATCCTTAATGTTTTATCTGAACAGTCTAAAGCCCAGGCAGACATCGCGACCCCTATCTTGACCAATTTGATTTCTATGGCTTAAGAGTGTTTCTATAAGACATCAAGGATAATTTAGTCCCTTCCATCAGAAAGGAATCAAAGTTATAAATTTGGCATGGTGCTTTAAAAATTCAGCCAAACAAACGATTCATGCAAAAACAGTCAGCATGGTATTAAGCGTAAGCAAACTTCCATGCCAGTAATAGTGAATAAATCCATGAGAAAGAAATTTACCATTCTTGGAGATCCATCTATCTCAGCAACTTCCATGCCTGTAACGATCATTCCAGGCACAATCTCCCTTGTCAGCTCCACGATGGCATCTTCAGCCGCGTTCATGTCCAAGGCCTTCATCCCGGGCACGCTCTCGATCATCCCAATGCTCCGCAACCTCTTGACCCCAGTGGCTCCCATGGGCCCGTCGTGACCGCAGGAGCTCACAACAACCTTGGCCTCCATGACATTAGGGTCCATGCACGACTGTGTGTCGTGGTTCATCGAGACCAATGCCCAGTTGGTGACCACACCACCAACTCTTCCACCTTTAACGATCAGGTCCTCAGCAGCCACAGCGTTGAAGAGCTTCACGTTGGGCCGAGCAAGGAGCTTGCTCATGATAGTGGAGGTGAATAGGGCGGCGTGCTTGATGACAACGTAGTGGTCTGTCTCATCGTAGGCAATGCCGAGCTCATTTAGAAAAAGGTGAGCTGGTTTACGCACAACCTGTAAATTATTTGTTATTAGATATACAATCACAATTCGATATTATTTTTTTGTATCAAATTTGGTAACGCTAATTACAAAAAAAATATATATATATATTTATTATTTATTTTCAATACATATCTCGACTTTTCGGATGGACCGAATCCCAATTGAAGCATTTCAAAATGCTTTTGACAGAAAATCCGACAATAAAAACAATTTAAAGAAATATGTATATATATATACACACACAATTCATTCCAACAAAAAAAATATCATTAAAAAAATACTATTTACACAAAGAAAAACAACATGCACAGCGATAACTGTTGAATTATCAAAATCTAGACCCGGCATGCGAGACACGTGTCACACAGCGAGACAATAAAATAAAATGAAGACCACTTGATACTTAAATTAAATTAGTTTTAAATTACCGTGGCGGAAAATAAACAGCTAAACTACAAAACAACAATCATTAATTAAGGTGGCTCGAAAATAATTAATGGAGGTAGAAATGAGATTACCATGGCGGAGAAGAGCTGGCCACCGAGCCACGCACCACCGCCGGGGCTGACGGACTGCTCGATAATGGCGACCTGAACGTTGGGGTTCTTGCTGAGCTCGTAGGCGCAGGAGAGACCGGCGGATCCGGCTCCGACGACGACGACGTCGGTGTCAGCGTAGGTGATCATATCGGTCATGTAGCGCCTGGTCATCTCCCTGGAGACGATGGACTCCTTGATGGGGTCGAACTTGAAGGCGCTGAGGTCGTACGACGGCGTCGAGCCGTTGGCGGACATGGAAACAGAGAGGCCATGGTTGTTGGAGTTGGTGGCGGCCTTGGCGGGCTGAAGGCGGACGACGGGAGTGCCATGGAAGGAGGAGTCGAGGAGAGAGGGCTTCTGGAGCTTGGTGGTAAGGGAGGAGGAGGTGAGAGTAGAAGCCATGGATGCCATTGACGGAAGAGAGAGAGAGAGAGAGAGGAGATGATAAGATTGATTTGGGTTTTAGGGTTTGCAATTGATGGGAGTGAGGAGGGTGGGTGGGTATTTAAGGAGGGAGAAGGGGGCTGAAATATCTGTGGGGGAATTGGGAGGGGCCACGTGGGAAGAAGATAGGATATGAATGAAGGGTCTAGAATTTTGTGAGGTAAAGCTCAGCTCAGCGCGCAGGTCAGGTACAAGTGGCACACATGAACCAGTCCACAGTGTGGGCTGAGTTGTGGGTGTGTGTGTGTGTGTGAGGGTGTACTTCACTGTCATTTGCCTCTGATCTTTTTAGGCGGTTCATGTGGGGTGCGTGCCATTTTTCGTACTTGTTTTGCAGACCCTTATTGTCATTATCAGTGACAAAGGCTCCTTTAAAGAAATAATATATTTTCATTGGGTGGACGGATCGGCTTTGCGTTGATTATTTTTCTGTTTGGGTGCGGGAATAGAGGGTAAATACCTTTTCATTTTCCCTTTGTTCTCTTCCACAAGTCATGGTGGGGTTACGCTAATCATTCTAAATTAAGCGTCTTTGTACTTAATGGGGGTAATTTTCAATTTGCTAATCGAATAGATTTATTTGATATTTTTGTAGACACACTTTGGTTTCCTTTATTTCGTATCTTTTGTCATTTTTGCTATCAAATAGTCCCATAACACGCGACATGGCGATAAATCAACCGCAAATTATTTAAAATAATGAAATAAATTATTGAAAACTTTTTATAAAAAAAACATCACTCTCTTTCCAATCCCCTCCTCCTCCCCCCTCCTAGCCCAACCACTACAACTCCCCAAAATAATCGTCCCTTCCCTCTCACCAATAAAAACACCCAACTTTAGACTTTCAATGGATAAAATTTTGATATGAATCCATTACAACTTTGTT